AATCCTAATTAGTTAATGGTGTCCCTGTATAATAAGGGAGGTCAAAAAATTATAGAATCTGTTGTAATTTGTATTTAAAGGTAATCAAACATTTATTATAAACAGAATTTTGATCATGCAAACGCAAGCAACCAGAGTTATATTTAAGTGGAAAATCGAAAGTCATCTTTTATAAATTCACAAATCCCTCTCTCTGGCTTATAATTAATTACTGTACTTTCGACCAGTAAAAATAGTAGTAAAAAAGCTATACACGGGATGTTAACGTACATTGTTTCATATTAAGCTTTGAAAGTGCATTGCTATCCAAAATAATGAATGACCGACATAAATACAAGTATCATAATATCATAATATAATTATGATAACCTTTCTGAGATCAAATATTCTTTACCTTTCCCATGGTCTTACACATGCTTCAAATATTAAACTTATGTATTGGGGAAACTCACCTAAGAATATGTTTTAGGCGTTAATCGGAACAAGTTTGAGGTAAAGTTAATACAACTCAAAATGCAGCTGCTTTAATAATTCCCACCGTCTTATGCACGAGGTGATGAAAACAATTGGATTGAACCTAAACAAGTCGTTTCGTGTTGAAATTGATTCAACAGAGCAGTGTTCTACAGACATTACCAGTAGATTTGATCTTATCAGACCCAACTCAACTTGCTCTACTGCGAAGGCTTTGGAACAGTTCTCCAGGCAAATAATGTACTTCTAACATGTTTTGTCATACAATATGTGGTTATCGTTGTTTGATATTGGCTAGTTGTTATTTTTTCATTGGTTTGCTACGTTTTAGCTTGACAAGTTTTCGTTTTTACTTTCGGCTAGGTCATTGGTATTTTTTTTTTACTTTTAGCGAATTTCCCATATAGGGAATAAGCTATTACCGTAGTACTCATGGTAAGACCTGGACGCGGGACTGATTTATTTTTTTGTTTTGAGGTCCCTAGAGGCCAAAAACACCATCCGTTCAAATTCATATATATATATATATATATATATATATATATATATATATATATATGTGAATATATATATGAATTTGAACGGATGGTGTTTTTGGCCTCTAGGAATCTCAAAATATATATATATATATATATATATATATATATATATATATTTATATGTGTCCGTTAGCACGATAACTCGAGCAAAAATGATCCAATTTTGATGAAATTTGGTATAAACGTGTAAACCTATATTCATTCGAACGAGTTCGCGAACCAGCATGATCGGAACATGGGATCGGGTGTTTATGGGGGGTTTTATGGGGTAAAAATAGGTTTTTCCCATTTTTGACCCTATAAACACAACATTTCACAATTTCTTTCCAAACCGTTTTGTAGAGCTTAAAAAAACAAATAATTTAGTATATTGAAGCATTATTGTGCGCCTAATGGTTACGGAGAAAATTCCAAAAAATTGTAAATTTAAAATTCCCATGTTATTCTTATGGAGAATAAGTCAACTGTTGTAATTTGCTTGTTTATGAACATATTTTGATCGAATTTGTAAAATACTTTCATTTCTTACTAAACTATTAACATTTTACAACAAAAATCACCTTTTTACCTTCAATGTTGCAGCAAACCTAAGTACTCGTTTAACTAATTGTATTTAAATAGGGAATAAATGTGATATTTTTAAGGATGCATTTTAGTGTAAATCCAATCAGGCAAAAGGAAAAATTCGCTTAGTCTGCAGGTTTGCTGCGGTGGGGGTATTTTAATACTTACAATAAAACGTTGCAAAAGCTAAATATGAATTGCAAATTTATCAATTATATGTTTGTTTAAACCAATATGTTCGATATGAAGGAGATATTTTAAGTGCGTCAAATTTGTCATATAATTATCAATGATAGTTCAGCAGCGCTGGGTATAAATTTCCAGAGGTCGAATGTTAAAGTAAGTAATATAAAATGCGCTCAAACCAACCAAAAACATTAAGGGCGATTCGAACCTCTGTGTCTACACACACATACCCTGCTTACCACAATCTTAATGCATTGGTATAGTCGAAACTTCTAGTAAGACGTTACTTGCCTAATTAGTCCTGAGTATGCTACATGTGTTGGGTGTGCGTATGTATGTATATTATGGTTTATTATAATGTCATATAAATAGTAACAGGGTAAATTGGTCCATTCAATATTTTCGATAAAATAAAGATAAAATGCATCAGTTTTGAGTTATAACTAACAATAGTTCGCTAAATGTAGTTCAAATTATTTGAACGTAATGTTCAAATTCCATTGCCCATTTCACTCGAGAAATCAGTCAATCAAACCAAGGTTCCAGATCAATAAGGATCATTTTGATCGGTTCATTTAACTTACATCCGACACCCAATTTTTTTCGCAAACTCAATTTCTTTACATTTAATCTTGTTTACTACTTATTTAAATTGATCTTAAAATACGTACTCGATCAAATCTGATAATTTTTTTTAATTTTTATCAATGTATCTACACGATCAAACATGAACGAAAAAACACGGTTTGAATGTAAAACCTGTTTTAACTATCTACAAAAACATGTTTGCATTTTTGTGTTTCCGTTAATTTATTTCTTATTTTAATGTAGTTTTATGAATTCTAAAATTAATAGAAATATTTAGAAAATTAGAAAACAAACCAGGGGTGAAGTTAATTTATAACCAGCCCAAATTTATACCCAATAATTTTAGTAAAAGATTTTAGAATGAAGAAACTTAGTTTATTTTATGATGGATAAGTTCACCGCACACCAATTGCTTCCATTTCCAGAACAAATTATATCTTAAGGTTGAAATTTGCTGATGTAGATTTGTCTAAGTGAAATATAAAATAATCTTGTTACTACAGTATACCGATATTAGTTAAAGTTACTCCTATATTGTTTTAGTTATATGCTTTTATGTACAATGACGTTTTAAGTTTAAAACCATTTTAAATCCTCTACACAATAAATGTAAAAGCTTATAATACTTCTACTATGATAACTTTCAGTTTGCACCATAATAGAAAATAATAAATAAAATTATGGACGTGTGCTAGTTTATCAACTCTGTCAGAAAACATCGCTCTTTAACGTTAAAGAGAAAATGTATTTCACAATGTTTTGTTTTGTGGGAATCAACACGTTCTGATCACCTCATTCATCAATTATTATTTTTATCCCCTTATTTCTTACTATGTTCGCTTTCAATGCATTCAAATTTAAATGATAAAACATTACAGTTACTAAATAGAAGAATTTTATCTATGTTGCTATGTTGTCATTTTATCATTGCTAGTAAATTAAAGGGATTGTGCACAGATTCTAAAGTGCATTATAATTTGTTAAAATATTGTGGTTCGATCATTGTTTTAAACGTAAGAGAACTCCTTCAAATGCTTTTAACCTGACATCGTTCAATTAAACTGCCGTTAGGTATATCGCAAAACTCACCAGTTAAAGTAGATCTTTAAAGTAGGTTAAAGTAGTTTTTTAATATTTAAAATCTGCATTTTAAATAAGTAATAATTACTGACATCTATCTATATATTAATAGGCAAGCATGTTTCTTTAAAACCTTTTTTCTCAGCTCGTGTGCATCGTAGGGAAAATCTACGCATACCGTTGGAAAGCTATTTTCCTGTAGGTGTGCAGAATCCCTTTATAAATTTAAATAGGCTCAAAGATAAGCACAAAAAATGAGTTTAAAAATTTGAAAAAATTAACATGGATCTTATGCGTTGCTATGCTGGTTACGAAATAACAACGAAATATAAACAGAAAATCAAAACAAATGGAGGAAACTCCAATCACATGTTTTATTTACAGTGTGGGGTGAAAATAGATAAGTGAGTACATTACATATTTTTGGTCGAGTTTCGACCACTGGACGACCTCTCGTAATTAATAAATAAGTAAAATAAACGAATCTTATAAAATAAAGTGACACAATTTATATTTTATTTTATCTTTGCTTCACTAACACAGACTACTTATTTGCTAAGCCGGTTGCATATTCAGCTGTAATAATTTTTGGAGAGATTATTTAATTTTTCATCATTATAACATAACAATTTAAGGTATCCGAGAGCCTCCAATTAGTTAAATTAACCAAGACCTTAAGAACAGGAAAAAATTACATTTAGTTTTGAATTAGGCTATTTTACATTGGTTGCAAAAATTTGATGTATCAAACCTGTGAGCTGCATATGCATGTATAATCATTAGTTTACTTATAAAGTAACTAACAACTTTATTTAAATTCATTGTTAAGCCCCTGAGCTGTAGATATTATCGTAAGACTAGATTACTTACGTCAATAGCTCATTGAATTTTATTTCATGTTTCAGTACATGTTTCGACACATTGTCATCCTCAGCTGAGTACTAGTGAAGTTTTTATTCACCATATGGTTTCGTCAATGTTCAATTAAATAAACACGTAACACGTAACACAAATACGACACGACACGGACCATATACATTTACAACACGTAAAGCTTTAGACATGCAGGCCTGCTCGAACAAAACACACGGTCACGCCGCGGGTCGGGGACAGACTCAGTCACTAGTCAGTCTGTCCCCGACCCGCGGCGTGACCTTTACCTTTACCTTTACCGGTTCTTCATCGTTGCCCAGCCATAGCTGGATAGATTGCGTTAAATGAAAAAATTAAAACTTTAAAACTGTGTCTATATACACTATATACAAGGCGGTGGATCATGATGTCCAAACTGAGTCAGGGGTTTCAAAAAAATCCCTGATGGAGTAAAGGGGCCTAGTCTTCAACTCCTTAGACATGTGCGCTACGAACGCTTTCACTGGCAGGCCTCTGATCTCAACACTGAGACTATTGTACAGCTTTATGGCCATAGTGGGGAAACTGTTTGCAGTCTTACTGAGCCGATGGGATGGAAGGTCAAGTTGGCCACGGTTGCGAGTATTGCAACTATGAAGGTCACCCCTTGAGCTAAAATCATTCAAGTTTTTCTTTATGTGTACAACACTGTTTAAGACGTACTGGCTGAACAATGTCATAACTCCCAGACGCATGAAAAGAGGTCTACAGTGGGCGTCAGCTTTGCTAGAAGTTAGAATTCTGATTGCCTTCTTCTGGAGTTTGAAGGATCTCCTAGAACCAGGCGCATGACCCCACAACTGCAAACCGTAGTTCAGATGACTATGGAATAGGCCATAATACACTGTCAGTAAATACTGCTCAGATATCTCCAGCTTGATTTTGCGCAGCAGAAAGATTGTTTTGGATAGCTTGTCGTTAAGGTGGGATATATGGTCTTCCCATGAGAGCTGGCTATCCATCCAGAAACCTAACAATTTGACACACTGTGAGTCTTCGATGGGAACTATGTTTCTTTTTAGGGTACAGATTAGGTTTTGGGTCTTAGAACCATTCAACTTAAGCTTATTCTGCACAAACCAATCCTTGGCAGTTGCCATGAGAGTCTCGGCGTCACTTTGGAGCAGGTCTAGTCAAGAATTTCTGGATATCAGGGTCGTGTCATCAGCGTAGAGGAGGGACTTCCCATCGCATCTCAGGTCATTGATGTAGATTACAAAAAGCAGAGGGCCTAGGACAGAGCCCTGTGGGACGCCATGCTCAATATACAGTTCTCTTGAGAAGGCACCTTTAACAGAGACCGTTTGACGTCGATTCTTGAGATAGCTTTCAAGCGATTGATAGGCCATACCTCCCACGCCATATGCTTTTAGCTTGTCCAGCAAGATTTTGTGGCTTATGACGTCAAACGCCTTACTAAGGTCACAAAGCGTTAGCTGCACGTATTCCCTTTCCTCAAAAGCTGCAGTAATCTTGGAGACAAGTTCAGTCACTGCTGTCACAGTTGATTTAGAGGGGCGAAAACCATGTTGGGACTGAGAAAAAAGGGAATTTAATTCAAAGAAGTCCATCAATTGGTTTTTCATAACTGTTTCAAATATTTTCCCTAGTATAGGGATGACTGATATAGGCCTGTAACTGGAAGGACTTGAGTGTTCACCTTTTTTGAAGACAGGCACAGTTTTAGCCCTCTTTAGCGCATCAGGAAAAATCCCATTCTGTAGGCAGTAGTTGATTAAGAATGTCAATGGTTCAACTAGGGTAGTAATCACAGATTTGAGTATTATGGTAGAAACTCCATAGATGTCCTGGCTAACCGAGTTGGAAAAGCTGCTAACTATCTTGAGAATGCTATGGGTGGTAGTTGGTTGCCATTTATTAAAATGTGAATTACTGGCATTTGTTACCATGTCAGCTGGATTGACATTCATATCGGGTATTTCCTTAATTATGTGATCGACTGACTCTTTGAAAAATGAGTTAAAGTCGTCTGGAGATATACTGGAAAAAGGAGAATCCTTCCTACCCTTCCTAGAGGAGTTGACCAGATCCCAAGCAGCCTTGCAAGGGTTATGAGATTCAGATATTAGTTAACAGTAACCTCTTTCCTATACAACCTCTTAGCAGCTAGATACTTGTCATAAAACTTAACCTTTAGCTCAACATTTGGAGCTGTCTTATAAAGATCAAAAAGAAAACAGATACGCTTTTTTAATTCAGCTAATTCATGTGTATACCAGTCTGTGGGTTTTGAACGTTTTTTAGGCTTAGAGATGGTTGTGACCTTTTGGCCTCTTTTCACCACAACTGGAAAGGCTATGTCAAACTTATTTATAAATGCCTGGAAAAATAATGTAAAAGCCTCCTCAGGGCACAAAGTAGGGAAGTCAAAGTTCCTCCAGTTTACATGATTTAACATTGCTGAGAACAGTGCCAGGCTAGCATCATTTATGCTACGCTTGTTAAAACTATAGTCCTTATACCATGAAGGAGTCTGAGGTTGATGACTTACCATTTCAGTAGACACATTCATTAGGACAGCACAGTGGTCGGCAACAAGGGGGTCCACAACACTTACTGTGTACGATTCGGATGGTAGATCGGTCACAACGGTATCGACACAGTTGTTTCCACGTGTTGGTTCTCGGTTTCCTAGGAATAAACCATAACTGTGGATTAGATTTAGAAATTCAAGCTCATGGGCATTTCTGTAATTTAGGTGAATATTAATGTCACCTAAAAGGAGGATTCTAGCTTTTAGCCTGCTAAGATACCTTAAGCAGTCGTCCAAACGTGAAAAGAAGCCATCGAGATTCCCAGAGGGGGGACGATAGATTGAAACAATGATCCAGTCCATATCAACAAGGTGCACCGCAGCCAATTCCAGGTCCATCTCTACACAAAACTCAGATAGATCCACATTTCTACATTTAAAATCTTTATTTACACTATTTACATAAATAAGCGTGCCTCCATGAATGTGCAGCTGTCGACACCATACGCTTTGAAGACTCAAGAATTCAAGTTTCTTATACAAATCATGCTCAGAAGAGTTTAGCCAGTGCTCACAGATACAAAGAATGTCAGGTTTATGCTGAAGTACAAATAAGGATAGTAGGTCAAATTTAGTCCTTAGGCATTGAACGTTTACGCTAGCAACTTTAATTTTGACAGAGAGTGTGCCAGGCTTAGTCTTATGTAGAATATTTACATTATTTACATTAGGCCTACTTGAAATTCTTACCTCAGTGGGACTAGGGTTAGGGGTTAGTTCTTCTGTTAACCTGTTTGAGGGGCAAACAGGTTAACAGAAGCTCCTGTAAAATAAAAAACGTTTTACAGCAACATTCTTAGGCCAAAAGGCTGTTTCAAGCAGATTGTCTCTAAGTTCAAAGTCTGCACCAATTTTGAAACTGCTGTTGATGCCTTTTGAGTCCAGCTTCTCTACCACAAAATCCCTTTGAGGAAACTTTTTCTTAAGAAAGTCTTCAACATTAGAGGAGGTTGTGTCTTTATTTACTTTACTAAGGTGAAACCATGCTCTTTTAACACCACAAAGCTCATCCCCCCCTGTACCAACAACAACTTGAATGCCCCTGGCTCTAGATCCACCTTTTGCCCTAGTTTCTTTCCTATTTTTATCATAGACGTTATGCTTAGGTTCAGATAGAGTAGGCCTACCTGCAGGTTGTTTTTGCACTTGGCTGAGAGAGGCTAGGTTCTCATTGTCAGATGAGGTTAAGTTGGGTTCTTGTCCAGATTTCTTCTTTTCATAAAGGCCTACAACAGATTGCGCCGGCTTACTAACCTTGTGTTTTTTCGATTTCTTCACAACTTCATTCCAGGGTATTTTTTGTTGTTCAACAAGTGAATCCACAATCACGATGTCACAATTCTTTTTATCCACAGGAGGTGACAGTTGGGTCATAGATTGTTTTGGACCAGATGACAGATCGAGATCCGAGCTGTTACGTAGGTTGTCAGATGTTTCCACCATTCCAAGATTGTCAGCTGTAGACTGATGATTTTTTGTTGTTGTTGTTGTTGTGTCGTCCGCAGCTTCCGGTTGATTGACAGACAATTTTTGCATGCTGTGATCTAACCTCAAAGTTGACTCAAAAATTTTATCGAGTTTTAAATTTATGGCTACATTGTCATTTGAGAGTCCTTTGACGATGGAAAATAATTTTCCTACCATATCATGCATGTTGAAATAGTCCTCAGCAGAGAACTCGTAGTCCCGGGCTTTTTCAATGCGGCCGGTACAGTCCTTACACAACCACTTGATAGCTTCATGAAATTTGTTTATAGCGTTATAATTTTCTTTGCTAATGTTCACACAGTTTATATGGAACCATCCACTACAGAAACCGTCACAACATACTGCATCTTCATCCTCTAAAGTCACATTTCCACACACCTTACATTCGGAATCATTATCCACCGCCATCTTGCAGACGACCGTGTGTTTTGTTCGAGCAGGCCTGCATGTCTAAAGCTTTACGTGTTGTAAATGTATACATGGTCCGTGTCGTGTCGTATTTGTGTTACGTGTTACGTGTTTATTTAATTGAACATTGACAAAACCATATGGTGAATAAAAACTTCACTAGTACTCAGCTGAGGATGACAATGTGTCGAAACATGTACTGAAACATGAAATAAAATTCAATGAGCTATTGACGTAAGTAATCTAGTCTTACAATAACAACTTTAATTACTTTTTGTCGATTTTCATTTCGAAACCTCCTCAGTCATAACGTCCAACTAGCTTAAAAACTTCTGAGAACAGCATAGAATATTGAATTAACATAATTTTAATTAGTTTTATTTCACTTTTAACTAATGCATGAATAGTAAACAAATGTGTTTATTCTGCTTTGAGAAACTTCTCAAACAGGATTGAAGCATATAAAAGGTTTGGTCAATTGTTTTCAACATTCGACGTATCCGTATAGTGTTCAACCCACAGATCAGTCTGGCACGAGCTACTTGAACATATTCCAGACTATATTGATTTAAGTTTAATGCTTAAGAGCCTTCTAAGTTAATATAAGTAAGTGAAGACACGAAAACGCTTGATCAAGTGGCATGACACTGCATAGTAAATCGTCAAGTGAGGTATATTGCACTGTGTTTCTTCCCAGTACTAAACACTAACTGTAATTATCAGTTCCGATAATTATTTGATAATTATATATAATTATAAATGATTTTATCTTGAGAAATAGTTAAGCAGTGGAACTACACAAATGAATTACATTTACAATGTTTAACGGACTTTTATTTTTGTATTCTCTTAATTGTTCGCAAATATATTCACTTTTATTTATAACATTTTATCTGGAAAAGAGATGAAGCCTTTATTGAAAAAATGGATCAGAAGAGGAGGATGTTTGCGTAAACTTTGCATCGACAATGAAGATATTATGTAAATTATCTAACTTAGTAAAGATAACATGCTTTTCATGACTGGAAACAACAGTTTTATGAATATTTCACTCACGAACAACGATCACTTACTTCCCTTTCACTCAAATTATATTTGCAATTCTATCGGTCGGTTCTGCTACGACGCTGATTGCTACTTGCAATTAATTGGCGTCCGATCTGACGACGTAAATTGTATTTAATTTAAGTAATCAACATAATATTGACACTTAAATAATTACATTTTACCATTTGTAGCGATCCTTTGAAAAATATAGTAAAATAGACTTCACAATGAGAAATAAGCTTCAACTTTGATTACATAAATATTTGTCTATTATTTAGCAGTGCTAAAGGACGCC